GGGAGGAGGAGGGAGGAGGAGGGAAGGAGGAGAGGAGGGGAGGAGGAGGGGGGAGGAAGGGGAGGAGGAGGGGAGGAGGAGGGGAGGAGGAGGGGAGGAGGAGAGAGGACCTGCTCGAGCCCTACGTTCCCCCGAGAGGCGCCGGCGCGGCCCAGCTGGTCCTCCCTGCCGGGCAGCAGCGCGAGGGCCGGGGCCAGGACCCGCCGCCGCGCCGTGCATGCGGGCCAGGTGTGCGTCGCGGGCCGAGGGCGCCTTCGTCAGCTTCGCTCCTCGCGGCGCTTTCGTCAGCTTCGTCAGCTTCGCCGAGGGCGCCGCCAGCTTCGTCAGCTTCGTCAGCTTTCGTCAGCTTCGTCAGCTGCGTCGCTTTCGTCAGCTTCGTCAGCTTTCGTCAGCTTCGTCAGCTTCGTCAGCTTCGTCAGCTTCGTCAGCTGTGCGACGCGTCGCCGAGGGCGCTTTCGTCAGCTTCGTCAGGGCACTCCATGAGATCTGGGCCTTCATTTTTTTCAGGGGGGGAAAAAACACACACACAGAGACACAAGGAATCGTCGAGCCCCAGGAAAAAATGGGAAAGTATGGGAAGTGGGGGGGAAGGCAAAAGCCCAGAGAATCTAGGACAATCTGGGGCATAGTTTTATTTGTGTGTATCTATTTGTGTGTCCTTGGGCCCCTTCATCGCCAGGCTTCATCGCCCGGCTTCGGACCCCAGGGCCATCACAGGTCGCTGCGGCTCGAGACATGCAGCAGAAAAATAAGGTCTATAGGGCTCCCGCCGTGACTGTTCGCAACGTTGCAGGTTTTTTTTCACAGCGTCGGATCCCAAGGGGAGGAAAGGAGAGTGCAGGCGACCGGTCGAACCGAATGCACACATCCGACGTCGTGGTTATTGTTCACGGCGTGGCTCACCAGAGGTCTGGAGCCTTTGTTTCTTATTCGCGATAACGGGCGTGATCGGGAAAGGGGGGGGGTCCCCCCCCCCGGTTCGCCCAGACCTTTCAGCAAAAACAGGCTCCTGGACCCCTTCCTGGGGACTGGCCTTCCATCTCCAGTCCTTTGCTCGCCGGCGCCGGGACGTCCATTCCCCGTGCATTGTTCGGCTTCGTGCGTGTATTTTTCACAAGACGGCCGAAATGCTAGAGGCCTCCTAGATGGGGTCGGGGGATCGCAACGCATCGCCGATGCATCGGCGATACATCGACGATGCATCAGCGATGCATCGGCGACGTCGGCGGTGCATCGGCGACGCCTGCGCGGAGAAAATCGGGTTCCACATCGAGCCGCATCGGCGACGCATCGACGATGCGGCGCGATCCTCCGACCCCATCTACTCCGACCCAATCTAGGAGGCCTAGAAATGCTCCCTGATGCACACGTCCGAGCGATGCCAAGTTTTCAGCGCGGGCCCGGGGCGCGGCGGCAGGGGCCCCCGACGGCAGAAGACTTCCCAACAAGCTGGTCGTCGTGGTCTCCTTTCACGGCGCGAGCCGGGGCGGGCGTGGACTGCCCAGGCTCAGCGCCCACCCAGCTCGGCCACTCCCCCTCCTCCTCCTCCTCCTCCTCCTCCTCCTCCTCCTCCTCCTCCTCCCCCTACCTCTCCTCCTCCTCCTCCTCCTCCTCCTCCTCCTCCTCCTCCTCCTCCTCCTCCCATCTAGAAGGGCCCCCAGGGGGGCCTGCGAAACCCAGCGCAGCCACTCTGAAAGGCCACCTTCAGGGTGCCGCGAGCGGCTCTCAAGCCCAGCTCAACCCCGAGCTCCAAGCTCAACCCGAGCTCCACTTTTTCGCAGGATCCTGCAGGATCCGGCGCTCTGGCTGAGCCCTGTTTGCACTGAGCCCCGGTACGTGCGCCCCGAGCGAGGATGTCAGGAGGAGGAGAGAGGAGGAGGAGGAGGAGGAGGAGGAGGAGGAGGAGGAGGAGGAGGCGGAGGAGGAGGAGGAGGAGGAGGAGGAGGAGGAGGAGGAGAGGAGGAGGAGGAGCGGAGGAGGAGGAGGAGGCAGGAGGAAGGGAGGAGGAGGAGGAGGAGGAGAGGAGGAGGAGGAAGATGAGGAGGAGGAGGGGGAGGAGGAGGAGGAGGAGGAGGAGGAGGAGGAGGAGGAGGAGGAGGAGGAGGAGAGGGAGGAGGAGGAGGAGGAGGAGGAGGAGGAGGAAGAGGAGGAGGAGGAGGAGTCCCCGCCCCCCCCAGCGCAGTGCAGGAGACGCGCGGAGCGCAACAAGATGCACGCGGCAGCGGAGCACACCCGTCGCGTGCCCATCACAGGAGGTATTGACTGGTAGTGCGCATGCAAGGGAGTGGCTACTAGTATGGCGTCAGGAAAGCTTACTTTGGGTCACGGGGCCGCCATTGAACCAACGGGGCCTTGAGCAAAAATGACCGTGGGAGGAGGAAGGAGGCGAACGATCAGAATAACAAGAAAGGACAGCAGAAGAGGACGGCCATAGAAGAACCAAGACGACGAAGGGATGAACACACAACAAGCGAAAGTCTGCCCCACTGCACCACCCCGTGCTGGCATGATGTTGCTTTCTCTGCTGCCCCCGCAAACGAACCTGATCGCGTTCTCGACATACCCTGGCAGATTCCGTGTTTGCCTCTTCGATGTGTTTCAACGATCTGCCACACGCCAGCCACAGGCCCTTGCACGGCAGAACACTTCAAACGTAGTACCGCACTCGGGCTCAGCATCCGGCAGACATCTTGAGAGCTAGGGGGCAAGATGGTTGCAGACATGTCTGTGACAACTGGTACCAGAAGCTTCTCAGGAAATTCCGACTTGCTCAGAAAAAGACTGCGCGCAACAACGCCTGGTGCAGACCCCCAGGCTGCACCGATTGCGAATGCGCGGTTGCTCTTTTGTAGCCGACATGAAAAGTAGATGACACAGGAGGTGAACGTAATCTTCGATGTCAAAAGGTGTTGCGTGAATCTTCGTTTCAGCCACACTGGTTTCAAAACATTGTTTGGCTTTTAGTTGGCCGAGCCACACCGCAAACTCTGCACACACGGTCGTGAGCGATGCCCGCTTTCTTGCAACATGTTGGCGCAAAGATCAATGACTGACCAATTGCTGATCATTGTGTCTTTCGTACGGCGCAGCGCAAGTATCCGTTCCGCAGCATTCCCACCAAACGAACGTACGTCTGTACCGCTGGCGCCGATAATCCGGCCGAAAATCTGGCCCAGATATCCGACAATGATATTTTTAATCCCTGGCCTCAGGAAGTCCCGAACCCCTTTACCACAGAGGTAGTTTTTTACTCCCGTTCAGTTTTTGATAGCTCTGGTGCCTGGGGCCAAATATTGAATTATCCCAGTGCGACCCTACCTAGGAGTTGGAGGATCTAGGAAAGCAACATCTATATGAAGCTAAGCTAAGCTAAGATGAAGCTAAGCTAAGATGAAATAAGCTAAGCTAAGATGAGATAAGCAACGCTCAGCTACGGGAGCGTCACTGGGGGAACCGCGGAGCGGATGCCAGGGGAACCGCCCGGGGCGGGCCCCACTGCCCGGCCCTTTAAGCTACCGAGTAAGAACCCTTCTAGGCAGAGCCTAGGTAGGGACCAACTCCAGGACCGAACACGACCAATCCCTCGGAAGCACCGCCGTCGCGCGGCAGGGGCTGGAATGAGGGCGGCAGCGCACTCCCGCGCGCCGCGCGCTCAAGTGCGGGGGAACAATGGGGAAAGGAGGCCGGCTCGGGGGAAAGAGACACATGGACTCTGCTGGAATCGGCGATGCTTACCTCGTCGACGCATCGGCGATGGGCACCCGACGGGGATGAACCGCTCGCTCCCGGGTTCGCCATCGCTGACCTCCATTCCCTGTCTTTTTCGGTTTCGTGCGTGGTTTTTTCACCAAATGATCAAGGATGCTCCTCGATGGCCCTCGCCGACAGAAAAAGGCACACGTCCGAGCGATGCCAAGCGGGCGGGTGGGGCGAGCAGGCCCCGCTTGCAGGGAGCCCGCACTGGACGGACGCGCCCAACCACGTGCATGACCACGGCCCCCCCGTCCGCGAGACCGGCCGCGCGGCACGCACGCTGGCGCAGCGCGCACCCTCGAGGCCAACGTGGATTCGTGTACGTGTACGCCCTTCCCTCGCTCCTGAGATTGGCGTTAAGTCGGGCCTGCCCCCCTACTGGGGGTTTTTCGACGAAGAATGAAAAAAATACCCCCAAAACAATCAAAGCATAGTCCAAAAATAGTCCGGGGACTGTTTTTTGAATATTGTTTGACCCTTTGGGGGGTATTTTTGGAGCATCTTTTATTTGTCATCGAAAATCCCCCTGTATGGGGGACAGGCCCGACATAAGATTGGCGAGGCTTCCCCCCCTGGGGCCAGCCCCTGCCCGACGCCGCCCCTACGACCGAACACGGTGCCGCACGTCCGCGCCCCTGGCCGACCGGGGCGCCACACACACACACACACACACACACACACACACACACACACACACACACACACACACACACACACACACACACACGCACAACCACGCACACACGCACGCACGCACGGCACGCACGCACGCACACACCACACACGCACACACACACGACACACGCACACGCACACCACACCACACACACGCACACACACAACACACAGACACAGACACAGACACAACACACCACACACACACACACACACACACACACACACACACACACACACACACACCACACACACACGCACACGCACACGCACACGCACACGCACACGCACACGCACACGCACGCACACACAAACACACACACACACCACACACACAACACCACAACACCTCGGGTCGGGCGAAAGGGGGGGATATCAAGAGGGGGGGGTTGAGAGTCAGCTCACGTAGCTGATTTTCCCGGCGCCTCGCGGCGCCAGAGGCGGCTGTGTATCGAGGAATGGGCCCCTCGGTGAGGCCGAAACGAGCTGCAGGCAGCAAATTTCGTGACCCCCCCTTTCCCAATCCCCCCCTTTCCGTCCGGCCCGAACATCTGCGCGGCTGAGGCGGGGGCGCCAGCAGGTCCGCGCGCCGGGTGAGGCTCTGCACCTGGCCGGCGGGGCGCAGCGAGGAAGGCTCGGCCAGCAGCGAGCAACAAAAATTGGATGGGTCAGTGTGTCACCACCACTGCCAGAAGCAGGACGAGGGAGAAGGGAGGATGGGGAGGTCCTCCTCCTCCTCCTCCCCCTCCTCCTCCTCCTCCTCCTCCTCCTCCTCCTCCTCCTCCTCCTCCCTCTCCTACCTATGGCAGCGGTGGTGGAACATCGGCCCATCAACATCGGCTCGGATCGGAATGTGCGTCGGGCCGGGCTGCCTCGGCAGGAAGTCGGCACCGGACCGGCCCAGCCGCGCCAGGATAAACGAGTTGGCGCCAAGCGAGAATCGGGCCACATCGGTTGAAGCTCGCTGAGGGGCAGCGAACGCGATCTGTGTTTCTGGGGCGACGGGGGAGAGGGCAATCCTTTTGTAGGGCAAGAGCAAGCATGAGCAGCCCAATCGTCGGCAAGAGCAAACCTGAAGTCAGAGCTTCTCGCGAAGGGCGGCTGTAAGGATTGCTGTTGACCGATCAAGCGCGCCCGCCGAGCGTACGGGGATCTGGCCATGGAAACAACGCTGCCCCCCCAGCGACCTTCAACACATCGGCTCGTTTGGTGGATACGTCCTGCCTGTCCCGGATAGGGGTCGTTCCCCGCCAAGCGAGAATCGGGCCACATCGGTTGAAGCTCGCTGAGGGGCAGCGAACGCGATCTGTGTTTCTGGGGCGACGGGGGAGAGGGCAATCCTTTTGTAGGGCAAGAGCAAGCATGAGCAGCCCAATCGTCGGCAAGAGCAAACCTGAAGTCAGAGCTTCTCGCGAAGGGCGGCTGTAAGGATTGCTGTTGACCGATCAAGCGCGCCCGCCGAGCGTACGGGGATCTGGCCATGGAAACAACGCTGCCCCCCCAGCGACCTTCAACACATCGGCTCGTTTGGTGGATACGTCCTGCCTGTCCCGGATAGGGGTCGTTCCCCAGGGGAGGAGGGAGGAGGAGGAGGAGGAGGAGGAGGAGGAGGAGGAGGAGGAGAGGTGGAGGAGGAGGAGGAGGAGGGAGGAGGAGGAGGAGGAGGAGGAGGAGGAGGAGGAGGAGGGGAGGGGGAGGAGGAGGGAGGAGGAGGAGGAGAGGAGGAGGAGGAGGAGGGAGAAAGGAGGAGGAGGAGGGAATGAGGAAGGAGGGAGGAGGAGGGGGGGAGGAGGAGGAGGAGGAGGAGGAGGGAGGAGGAGGAGGAGGAGGAGGAGGAGGAGGAGGAGGAGGAGGAGGCGGGGGATTGGGGGGCCTCGGGGGGGAAAAGTGAACCGCAACAAACGGCGGCCGCGCGGCGTGACCCCGCCAGGGTGGGTGACCCCGCCAGGGTGTGTCCGAACCACCAGCGCGCAGTCGCCGTGCACCGCCACGAGTCGCAGAGGGGGTCCAGGCCCCCCCCCCACCGCCCCTGTACGTCTTTACCCATCGGTTGAAGTAGGAGTAGGACAGAGAAGTAGGAAGGCGTTTGAAAGTAGGGAGGAGGGGAGGGGAGGAGGAGGAGGAGGAGGAGGAGGAGAGGAGGTGGAGGAGGAGGAGGAGGAGGAGGGAGGAGGGGGAGTGGGGGAGCCTCGGGCGGGAAAAGGGAACCGCAACGGCGGCCTCGCGGCGTGCACCCGCCAGGGTGTGTCCGCGCCACCAGCGCAGCAGTCGCCCGTGTGCACCGCAGCGCGTCGCAGGGGGGGTCCAGGCCCCCCCCGCCCCAGTACGATCGTTACCCATCGGTTGAAGTAGGTAGGAACAGGAAGTAGGAAGGCGTTGAAAGTAGACTGGGTCCCGTCCGCCCTGAGCACGGGAAAGGTGAAGCCGCTCGATCCTTGAAGTGGGCAGGCGCCCAAAGCAGATTGGAACCTGGAAGTCCACAAATGCCCACTTCCAACGACCGACGGGTAACGTTACCCAGGGGTCGGGAGCGGCCAAGAGGGGGGTGTCCAAGAGGGGGGGGTGCAAATCATGGCCGGCGGCATGTGCGCGGCACAGCGGGGGGAACCAGGGACGTCATGAAAGAAGACGGGGCGCCATGAGCTCTGGGGAAACACCATGGCCCCCGCCATGGTATCCCCCCCCCTAGTCATCACCCCCCTCTTTGCCGCCCCCGAAGGGGGGGAGGGGTGCCCGGGTAACGAGCGTTGCCCTGGGAGGGGAAACGAGAACGCCCGCTGGAACATCGGCTCGTTTGGTGGATACTTCCTGCCTGTCCCGGATAGGGGTCGTTCCCCGGGAGAGGAGGGAGGAGGAGGAGGAGGAGGAGGAGGAGGAGGAGGAGGATGGAGGAGGAGGAAGGAGGAGGAGAAGGAGGAGGGAGGAGGAGGGGAGGAGGGGGAGGAGGAGGACGAAGGAGGTGGAGTGGAGGGAGGGAGAATGGAGGCGGAGGGGGAGGGGGAGGGAGGAGGAGGAGAGGAGGAGGAGGAGGAGGAGGAGGAGGTGGAGGAGGGGAGGAGGAGGAGGTGGAGGAGGAGGAGGAGGAGGGGAGTGAGGAGGAGGGAGGAGGAGGAGGAGGAGGGAGGAGGAGGAGGAGGAGGGGAGGAGGAGGAGGAGGAGGAGGAGGAGGTGGAGGAGGATGGAGGGGGAGGAGGAGGGAGGTGGAGGAGGAGGAGGAGGAGGAGGGGAGGAGGGGCAACGCGAACGCCCGCGGGAACATCGAGATCGACACGGACGCGTCGCACGGGTCGGGCGACGGGCCCCCCCCATCGTCTACGCGGGCCACGGCCCTTTCCCAGACGGCCGGCGCCTCGAGGGCCAACGCGGGGGGCGGCCGGGCCCGCCGCCGTCTCTGGAGGCCAGCAGCTGCCCCCGGGGGCCGTCAAGCAGGCGGTGTACTTGCAAGAGGGGCCTCCCCTCTCATATCACCGCCTCCTCCTCCTCCTCCTCCTCTCCACATCCTCCTCCTTCCTCCTCCTCCTACCTCATCCTCCTTCCACCTCTCTCCTCTTCCTCCCCCTCCTCCTCCTCCTCTCCGCCCCTCCTCCTCTACCTCCTCCTCCTCCTCCTCCTCATCCTCCTCCCCTCCCTCCTCCCTCACTCCCTCCCTCCCTCCCTCCTCCCTCCTCCCTCCCTCCTCCTCCCTCCTCCCCCTCCTCCATCCCCCTCCTCCTCCCCTGGGCAGGAGTGCCCTCTGGTGCGCGGCTTTCTGGGGGCCGCGCGGGGGCGAAGCAGAAGTGCGCAAGACGCTACTACCTCAACGCGTGCGGCGATCGGGGGACCACACTGGGCCCGCACTCAAGGTCACTCAGGCGGAAGGTCACTCTTACGGTTAAGTCGGGCATGTCTTTCTACAAAAGGAGCATGCAAAAATAGTTGAGAGAAATAGTCTGGGGACGATTTGTCACGTTTCTTTTGGCTATTTTTGGATAGTTTGACTATTTCTGGTTTTTCTTCCAAGATCCGCCTGTAGGAGCACATGCCCGACCTTATCTGACGTGTAGTCGAGACAGACGCAACGGGGGATGCCCCCCAGGGGACTGGCGCGAACAAACTAGATGCAACGATTTCAGGGCGGATCCAGCCGTGGCGACTGGGTCGCTCCAGAAGGCTCCAACAAAGCAATACAAAAGAGAACGTTTAGTCGATCCTTGAGGGACAACGATAGGGAGGAACTGGCATAATTCGGGGGACACATCGACCTGGAATCGGCGATGCATCGCCGATACATCAGCGAGAGGCCTCTGATGGTGAATCCGACCGTTCCTGGGCAGGTTGGGGCCATCGGGCCCCTAGCGGCGATCAATGGGCAGTTGGTGGTCGATGCACCCCCTCCTCCACATGCCTATCGCCCCCTATCGTTGCCCCTGAATGACTGCCTACCAGATCACCCCAACCCAACCCGAAGACCCGGATTTCGGGTTGGGGGGGGTATGGGTTCCATACGCGTTTTTTCGATGTTCCCCGACCCCCCCCACTGGAAATGGAGGGCAAATTGAGGCCTTCGGGTTGGGTTGGGGTGGTTTGGTGGGTGGTGACTGAATCCTCGATACTCGGTCCTCGACGCGAAGGTTCTGAGTGGGCCTGTCGGGTGGCCGGCGCGCTGAGCCGAAGCCCCAGGGGGAGGAAAAGGAGGAGGAGGAGGAGGAAGAGGAGGAGGAGGAGGAGGAGGAGGAGGAGGAGGAGGAGGAGGAGGACGACGACGAGGGCGAGCCAGACGCCATTATCCGCTCTTCCTTGGCCTCCTGCGCTCACAAAGTCGACGGCCACACGCCTTGCCTTCGCGGCTTCTTAACGGTTTGAGAGTGTCGGGGTGTGTGCAGTCGGCCTCGCTCCCCCCAGGGTGCGCAGTAGACCATGCGACGCACTCGCATCGTGTGCACCAAGATGAGTGTGCTGTGCGCCTGGTCACGTGACGATTCTCTGGGTGGGGAGGCACGGCCTTAGCTGCCCCAGTACGCAACACGCATCACGTAGCGTATTGATACGGAGCTCAACACGTATCCTCAAAACGTAGGTCTGGCGCGATACGTTTGCCAAAACGTTCGCTAATACATTGAGCCAAGACGCAACGCATCGACACGTACGTCTTGAGCACGGTACGTGCTGCGTTTCAACACGGGCGTATCGAAGCAGCTAAGGTGTATTGTACGCCTGGCCACGTGATGCCTTTCTGGGGTGGGAGGCACGGCGAGGAGCGTGAGGGGTAACGATAAGGGGGGACTAGAAGAGGGGGGATGTCTCGACCTGGAATCGGCGATACATCGTCGGTAGATCGGCGATAGGCCTCCGAAAGCGATACCGCACCTTCCTTGGCGGGGTAGGGCTATCAGACCCACGTCGGCGACCGATGCGCGATTGGTAGAAGAAGAAGAAGAAGAAGAAGAGCCATGCGCTCTGCGCGGATTTCCTGGATCTGCGCTGGAACCCCCTCCCTGGCGCGCAGAGCGCGCCAGGGGCGGCGCCGGAGGCGCCGCTGGGGGGGGGGGGGGGGCCCAGCGCGGATCCAAGAAATCCGCGCGGAGCGCCAACAGTTTATGTCTGTGGCGTGCATTCTTCCTCGGGGCAGGGGGTCCATGCGCCTGCCCCCAAGGCTCGGGCCGGGCGAAAGGGGGGGGATAGCAAAGGGGGGGGGCTGAGAAGCAGCTCGCGCGGCTGATTTTCCCGGCGCGCACCCCGGCGCTGGGCGGCGCCCATGCATCGAGGAATGCATGGGCCCGCCAGCGGGGCCGAAGCCAGCTGCAATCAGCAAAATTTCGCAACCCCCCCTTTCCCTATCCTTAAGTCGGGCGTATCCCCCTACAGTGGCATTTTGTCGACGAAAAATAAAAAATAGGAAAATCACAAATGGTTAAAACATTACTCCAAAAACAGTCCCCAGACTATTTTTGGATTCTTCTTTGATTTTTTTGGGCGGTATTGTTTTTTGTCGTCGAAAATCTCCCTGCAGGGGGACACGCCCGACTTTACCCAATCCCCCCCTTTCGCCCCGCCCGAAAGGCTTATCCTGGCCATCGCTCGGACGTCCATTCCCTGTTTTTTTTCGGTTCGTGCGTGGTTCTTTCTTTAAGTAATCAAGGATGCTCCTCGATGGTCCTCGCCGAAGGAAAAATGCACACGTCCGAACGATGCCAAGGACTGGAGTGTTCAATCCACGGCATTTGAGGTCCCGCCAACTTCCCTGGGAATAGCCCTTCGTCTCAGATCCGTTTATGTTGCATCCTCGGGGGACCTTGTCTGTCCCGTCGCGGCCCTGTCCGCCGAATCCATGTCGGACGCGTCGGATCCGTGTCGGATCCGTGTCGAATCCGTGTCGAATCGGCGTCGAATCCACGCCAAATCCCCCCCCCCTCACGCTCGCTGCCCCCGCGGGCGGGCTCCGGCCCCGGGCGGCCGAGGGGCGGGGCCGGCGCCTCGCCCACGCGCCGCTGCGCCTCCGTCCGCGGGCTCTTCGGGGCCGCGGAGCCTGCCGCCACCGAGAGCCCCCGCCTTCCCCCCCCCGGAGGGCCGCGCGGCCGCCCTCGCGCCCCCCCCCCCCCCCCCCCAGGAGGGCCGCCCTCGCGAGGCCTTCCCCCCCCCCCCCCGGAGGGCCGCCACCGAGGCCCCCCCCTCCCCCCGGAGGGCCGCCCGGAGCGAGGACGAGTCGAGAATCCCCCCGTCGAGAGACCCCGCCTCCCCCTCAGGAGGGCGCGGGCCGCCCTCGAGGCCCCCCCCCCGCCCTGACCTTCCAGAGAGCCATGTTTTGGCGCTGGAGGCCTAAAAACCTAGACAACAAAACGACACCTGGCCTAAAACCAGGACGCAGAATAGCTCTGGGATAGGTGTCAAGTCGGGTGCCATCTCTAGCCCTCCTGGAAGGTCAGGGCGGCGGGCCGCCACCGAGGCCCCTTCCCCCCCCCGGAGGGCCGCCAACCGAGGCCCCCGCCCTCCGGAGGGCTGCCCGGAGTGAGGAGAAGTCAAGAAACCATATTTTGTTTCGGACTTTCCACAAACCTGCAGTCTAGGGAGCCCACAAAGGACGTACGCGCCCAGCTATGTACATGAACACGGCCCCTCGATCCGCGAGACCGGCCGCGTTATACGAACATTTGCGCAATGCGTGCCCTCGAAACCAGCGTGGATTCATGTACGTGTACGTCCTTTTGTCGCTCCTAACAGTCGACGCCCACAGACGAGCGGCATAAGTCGAGAATCCCCCGGCGGACCACCAAAATGGGAGCTCGACCCGCTGGTGCACCGAACACCGCCGCAAGCAGATGCCCCCCGCATGCCCCACCCATCGGCAGCTATCGGGGGCTGCCGGCGGCTGGGGGGATCTGGTTTGGGCGGTCCAGTGCCAAAACCGATCGAACTCCCACCGCCCACCAGGGCACACACCCCCTTTGCGGGATCCCGAATCTCTGAGATGCGGCGGCTTTGGTGGATGTCTCGGGCGCCACGGCCTTCTCAGAGCGTTCTGGAACGGATTAATCCTTGTCCTAGCTCCGTCCGACTCTGTTTGACCGGACGAAGAAGGGAACGGTCGGACCTAGGACAGAAGAACGGCCTTCAAGAACATGAGACCCTTCTCTGGCCAACAAGAACGTAGAACATCCAAGGGCACCCTCCCCCCGGGATGCAGAAGAGCATCCAACAGACACGAAGAACACTAGGGTACCCTCCCCGACCTCTATCTGATACCTCGGTCGGACTGTACGTAGCATCCCGCAGTGATTAAACAATGAAAGTGCCCCTGATCCTTTGGAAACAGGATCTGCACTTGGAGGGTCAAGAAAATTAGGGCTAGGTTGTTTTGCAGACGTCTTAGACGGCGCTTCCCCCATGTGTAGGAATAACTCTAAAATCGGCGGTGGACAAACCTCCCTTCAGTAAACCTCCCTTTAGTGAAAGCGGCCCATGACCGAAACCGACGGACCTGGACCCGCAAAAACAACGGCCGCGACGCCCTCTCGCGAACCAAAAGTGGCCAATCCACTAATCGACGTGTCAGGGTAGGAGGTCTATCAACCTCCGACAAAAGCCGAGGACCTACTCTGAGTACCCGAATGATTCCGGAGTGACCAATCGTCCGGGGGGGGGTGGGGCCCCTGGTCCGGGGAGGGGGGGCCCCTCCAGTCTGGGGGGTGGTCCTTGCAGTCCGGGGGGGGGGGGCGCCCTTGCAATCCGTGGGGGAGCCCTTGTGTAGTCTGGGGGGCGGCCCCTGGAGTCCAGGGGGGGTCCTGCAGTCTGGGGGGGGGGGGCCCCTCCAGTCTGTGGGGGTGGTCCTTGTAGTCTGAGGGGGGGAGTCCGTGGGGGAGCCCTTGTGTAGTCTAGGGGGGCGGCCCCTGGAGTCCAGGGGGGGTCCCGCAGTCTGGGGGGGGGGGGGAGCGCGTCGCTCTTCGTGGGTCGACGCCCCGCCCCCCAAAACTGTTGACGTACTCAGAGTGAGCTGGGCCACGAAACTACTGTGTGTTGGTGTCGCCAGAGCTGGCATCGAGCCGATTCCCGGCTCCCTGCTCCTTGACATCGCTCGGACGTGTGCATTTTTTCTCGGCGAGAACCATCGAGGACCATCCTGAACCATCGAGTCAACAAAAACACGCACGAAATCGAAGAATGCACGGGAAATGGACGTCCGAGCGAGCGACGGCAAGGCTCTCTCCCGTCGGCTACATGCCTATACGACCGCCCTGCGGGCGATGAGGAGGTTGGGGAGGGGATTGAGATCAGATGCCCACCCTGACTGACCTCCGGCCTGTCACCTCGACCTCCCTTCCGCAATTGATGGATTGGGTTGGGTGGATTGGACTGGATGGGGTAAGATGGATGGATTGAGATAAGATGGGCTGGATTGGAAGAGAAGGACTGGTTAAGATAAGACGGATTGGATTGACCCGCCGCAGGCTCAGAAAGAAATGAATCGATGGATTGGGTTGGGTGGATTGGATTGGGTGTGATAAGATGGGACAATGTGGGTTTGAAAAGATAAGACGGATTAGATGGGACAAGATGGATTGGATCAGATAAGCTGGATTGGATAAGAAATCCCGCCGCAGGCGCCGAAAAAATGAAGTATGAAATTAGCGACATGCGTTAGCGTCGTGACGCCCGGGACACCCGGGACACCGCCCGGCCCAACTGGGACACCTCCCGGCCACCGGCGGACAAGAAACGGACTTTCGCTCCTACTGATCTCCGGGACACCCGGGACACCGCCCGGCCCAACTGGGACGGGCTCTCAAAGTTTTCGCTGCGGGCCCTCTGGCCGGGGTCGTCTACGGCTCTGGCATCTCTGGTGTTTCCGATCGAGAACTCCTGGAGCTTCGTCGTATGACCATGTCTTCTGTCATACCGAGGTCCCAGGGCCGTTCGCTTTCGGTTCTGTGTCTCCTCGAAGGGGACCCTACTTGGAGGACTAGTTGCGCTCCCATCATCCACCGGGCCAAGAAAATCTTGAGTTTACAGACCCGCGCGTTTCCCTGGTCCCTGAGCTGCGGCCAAATGCGTGGCGGACGGGCCTCGGCTTCCTCTTTGGAAGACAATTCGTGGTCCAAAATGTCTGGCCCGATCTCGGCCCTCAGGATGTCGCTTTATCGACTTGGCTGGTCCATGCCCAATTTCTGCACTATTGTTGACGATGTCGGGCGTGAGATCCCCCGGACTTTTTTCCCCTAAACTTGCCAAACACTATTGCAAAGAGGCCGTGTGCAGGTCCCTTGGGAGGGACTCTAGGGATAAGTATAAGGTGCATAGGAGGCTCTGTTGGGATGTTCAGAAGACGCTCCCGGCCTCGAGAAAGATCTCGGGAACATAGCAGGGGGATAATCCGCACGCTCGCCACCAACGCCTGCTGGACAGCTGGCGACGCGGCCGACCTCGGCTACCCGATTCCTAGTTTGTGCAGCCTGTGCGGCGAGGCGAAGGATTGCCTCTACCACAGGATCTACGTCTGCCCATGCATGCAGGATGAGCGAAATGACATCCTCCGCTCCTGGGAGCAGAAAGCAGCCCGCGAAGGCGATTGGACAGATCCCGGACATCGTGCTCTCTTCATGTTCGGCACGTTTCGGCATCTAGGAGATTGCGCATCGACTGGGCCCCGCGGGGTCCGAATCCGAATCCGATGGCGCCGCAGTCCTAGACCACGGAACGAAAATCCGCCCCGACCTCTTTGGGCCGTTGGATGTCCTTGGGCCGTCTGTCGGGACATCGACACCCCTGACCCGCCCTGCGGCCCGCCCCCGCCAGAACATGGAGGCGGAGCCCGCTGCGGCGACGAGGGCGCCTCCCTGGAGGTCCGAAACGAGCCACGAAGATGTCCAGAGGCCGAAGGATCCTGGACCCCCCAACCCCTGCCCCAGAAGAAGAACAGCACCATGAAAGCATGGGCAGAAGCCCGAGCAGCAGCCCGGGCCCGGATGATGATGATGATGATGATGATGATGATGATGATGATGATGATGATGATGATGATGATGATGATGATGATGATGATGATGATGATGATGATGATGATGATGATGATGATGATGATGATGATGATGATGATGATGA